AAGCCATGTTGACTGCTTCTAATGACCCTAATGCAAAATCAGAAGTCACTTTTACTTTCTGCTGATTGTACCAGGTCTAAGCTGGTGCCACAGAGCCAATTTCAGATATTTATACTCCGGGTATTTTCTTAATGCAATTTGAGATGACAGTTTCCGCTAAAACCTTTTGAAAAATACACTGTGTATATTCATATTACCTTTCTTCATACCCTGTCCTCCTTTATTTGTGTGAATGAATGTGTTCATATTCCTCTGACAAACCTGATCAAAACCGATTACTTTCAGTCTTGGTGAACCTAAGCTTTTTTTCTAAATACTGTTCCTCTTGTTGGATCATCTTTTTTTTGCCAAAGTCAGTGAGGCTGCTGTTATTTAAACACCATTTTATGCTAGACAAAATAAACTTATCTAAACAGAATTGTGACATTTTCCTTCACTGCTTAGCAAATGTGGTGCTTTCAAGCATGAAGGATGAAGTATGAGCTAGAGAAAGTATTTCTGTTCTGATGGTGGTAAAGCAGCACTCGTGCCCTGGTTACAAACAAACATGAAAGTGCTTTATGGTCCTTAAAAAGCAAAATGAGTGACAGTTACGTAAAACCAGCTTGTTACTGCACTGTAACTGGCATTTATTTGTGCCATCAGAGCTTAATATGGTACTTAGATCTTTTAATATTTTAAGCCTATCATCTCTGCTGGTGTAGGGTAGAAGGAAAGAATCCTGTTGCTACTCTGTCCAGTTTTTGTGTTAAGTGCTGAAATACTGCTTTTAAGATTTGGCATGGCATATGTAAGTGGGTTGTAAACTGTTCCAACAGATAGGTATGTTGACTGAAAATCAAACTCCTAATGAAGGTGATAATTACCACTAATTCTTGAGAACGTTTTGCCAAATGCCCATTTTAGAGCTATGTACCATATTGTGCCTATACTCTGGTGGCGTAATCAGGCCTGACAGTTACAGGGTTGAAGCTGTAAAGAAGGAAGAGAAATGTGTTGGTTGCTGGTCAGTGACCATATAAATCTATCTGCTGATTTTATTTAAAAGCAAAACAAAAAACCCACCACAACAGACCAAAGCCAAACAGACAAAACTCCAGTAATACACTGCTTTTCCAGGTTTTAATTTATTTCTGTGTCTGGTTGTTGTTACAGTGATTTCATCTTTACTACTCTGTTTCTAGGTTGCCTGAAGCTCAGCAGAGGGTTGGAGGATGTTTTCTAAATTTGATGCCACAAATGAAAAGCTTATACCTTGCATACTGTGCCAACCATCCATCAGCAGTAAATGTTCTCACAGAACACAGGTACGTTTACTTTGTGGTCTTTTAGGTCTGATAACAAAAAGAAGTGCATATAATACACTTGTGTTGTAAAGCTGTGATGTCACTTTTGACACACATTTGTTGTGGAAGAGCTTGTTTAAGGGAAAAAAGAAAGTAGTAGTATATTTTTTTAAAAAAGACAAACACACAACACAAAGCTGTTCTGTGTGATGAGGACTAGCTTGTCACTTTTGGCAGTGAATTATCAGCCACTTGAGAGAATTTTCTCATTTAAAGAGTGCATGCTGGACTCTGAATATGTAAACAAACTGTACTGATTGTCATTATGTTTATTAAATGTCAAGATAAAAAAAATTAGTATCTCCTTTGTGTAGGAAGTGGGATGCTGAGTTGACATATGATGCAAGTTGCTCAGCTTTGGGACAGACTTTGAATTTGCATGGAAGATGCCCTGTATCACCTTGAGGGGAGAGTGTTGTGGTCACAATTTGATTAAAGAAGTTTGCTTTCACAAACTTCCTATTTATTCTCCTCATGATCGTGTGCTGCAGCAGCTGTTAGTTTGGGGCTATTTGTGTTTGTTTGTGGTGCAGGAGAGGACCATGATGTTCTCTTGAAGCTTAGATATAGGAGAAATTCTATCAGGTTATCTGTTGTGGTGTGTGTGTGTCCCGTCCCTCCCAAACACACACTTTTTTGTATTGTGATAGGCTAAAGTAAAAGTATTTTAATAGAATCGTATATTCTTAACTCTTCTTAAACAGAGGAGCATAATTATTTTTTATAGCGTTAACTTCTTCCAATAACTTGCATTTTGTTTTGCAACAATACATGCCACATTTGTAAACTTTACTTATAATAGTATAAATAAAAAGCCTTCTAGCCATCAGATACTATGAACTATCACTTATGTTAGTAAGACATGCAACTATGTTTCACTTTGAAAAATCAAATTCACAATTCAAAAAGCAAATTCACATTGCAATTTAGACAGAAAGAATGTTGTGGGGTTTTTTGGTTAGAAGCAGTGATGAATTAAAATTAAACAAGACAAAATGTATTTGCAACCCTTTAGTGTGTGTTTTCTTTCAAATATCCTTCTTCTAGTACCACTTTCTGTAAATAGTAAAATATTTAGGTGATCCACACCTATGGGGTTTTGATACTCTTAGGCTTACATTTTTTGTTTGTTTGTGCCTTTATGCTCTATCCATACAGAAGTCTGGGGCTTAATGTATAGATGGAAGATGGCAAGTGATAGCAAAGTGATAATCTGCATTTCTTAAGATTTGGAGATATTTGTAAAGGTTTATCCTAACTTTCAGAACTCTTGGAAAACAGAGGGAATAGCCATGTCTGGGGAACTGTGATAGAAATGTGAGGAAGGAAAGATGGAGGTGGATAAGAGCAGTCTTTTTTCTCTTCATATTACTTTGGGCATAGGTTGTCCTAAGAAATATTCACCTTCTGGTCTGTAAAGTCAGCTTGGTATCAAATCCTGCTGGAGTCAGTGTAAGTATCATAGGGCAGTTAAGTAATTTGTATGTGGAAGTAGGTTTGCAAGAGATGGCTCACGTAGATTGTGATAAATGCGTTCTGTTCAATGCTGTTGTGTTGCCAGGCACGAGTCAACAGAAGGGAATGCTGGTTGTTTGGGTTTTCTTTAATTACCTCTATTATTCTAAGCCCTTCATTTTTGTTGAACACCATTGCCATAGGCAGCAAGTGGTTTGACTGAAAATCCTGCTTGAGACAGCTGCCATGAAGAAATCAGGTGACTCAGCAGTTCTGAACCTTTTGCTCTTAGAATGCCGGAAAGCTTTGAATGACCTTGTTTTAAAGGTGTGGGGAAAAAGACTTTTCTCTCTAGAATAACAAACTGACTGAAGGCATGAAATAAAGGAAGATACACAGAACTATCTCCTTGTGTATTTAGGAGACACATATATGCATTAACTGTGCTTCTGAAAGCCTTTCTACAAAAAAAGATAATTAAAATCAGATTCTTCTTTCACAAAATTAGAGTTTTCTGCAGTTTAAGTTCACTTGGTTTTGGTGGGAACCATACCAACAAAAGAGAGACAAAAAAGCCTCCTATGGAATTGCTCTAATCCTAGCTCTAAAAAGGTGGGACTGGTACTTTGTGGACTACATCCAAAATGACCAGAAAAGATATAGATCTCACTGAAGGGTGGATAACATAATGAAAAACAAGTCTAACAGGCCCCACTGATCACTGGATGTAAACTTCAGAAACTTTCTCTATTTTTTTTTTTTAATTCTGTAAAACATATAAGTTTTATTAATGTTTATTTACTGTCACTGACTAAAAACAAAGGAAATTGGTAATTGTTTTGAAGCATTAACTGTATTGTTTCTTTAACCAGTTGGATCACTGTAACATCAAAATTGTGAGCAGTTATCTGCTTCGATGCAATATTGCACGAGGTTTTTATATGTCATTTTCTGAAGTATTGATCATGGTCTTCAAGCAGTTTTGTAATACCTGTTAAAATGTCATTGACACCTGGTAAAGATTCTCTGTGTGTATGCATATTTATGTATAAAACCTGATTATAATAACTTACTCAGAATTATTTTGGACTTGTAGTCAGAAGCTTCTTTTTGAATAGCAGTTTTGTGAAGTCGATTCTAGATAGCATTACTTGGGATGACGCTGGGGATTTTAAACAGTCATTCATTTGGAATGTGACTGTCTTTTCTTCTTTTTCTTTTTCCTTTTTTTTTTTTTTAAATGCTATTCAGTATGAATGCCAGCCTGTGCTTCCTCTTCCTCTTGTCATTTGCTTCTTGATCACATGTAGTAGCAACATGAGGGCTTTTATTCAATTAGTACAAAATAAGGGGATGTGTTAATATAATGTTCATATATGTCCATGTTTACACAAATACAGTTGAGGGTGAAGAGGGTTAATTATATTACTTAATGATTAAGAGATTTTTTATGTTCCAGTCTTAACAGCCGCAAACGTCTTTAATTTCCTTAGGTTAATGATTAACAGTCAAACTGTTGAAATGAATATCATTAGAGACCTGAGTGTATATAAATATGCAGAAATGGGAATGAAACTTAATACAGCCTGTTACAGGAGTTCAGGTTCCAGAGCTGCATTTTCTGAGATTGTATTTGTTTCTGATAATCACAACAATAACAAAGAATGTTTCTATTAAGTTTGGGAACAGATTATCATCTTGGTTCCAGTTGTGGCACTGTTGTTTTTATCCAGGTGTTAGTACTCAACATAATTTCTCTGTTTTCATACAGTCTTGAAATTTGGTAGGATCTTTTTGTCTCAGGAATTGTTTCAGAGCCATTGCATATTTTTTTCCAGAATTAAACTTCTTTCTGTGTAATGAATCAATAATTTTGAAGTATAAAGTAATTTTTCCTTGGGTCTGTCATCATGTCTTGTAATTGTGTCTTAAACCACTGGCTAGAGCTGAAGAGGTGGAGCTCACCAGGTACAGCTGAGTGGTGGCTTTTGCAGAGATCAGTGTGTTTGTGCGTTTCCACCACAGCGTCTTGGCTAGTTCACTGTTTCCTTCTCTCATTGTTACCATAGTGCCACTGTACACGATTCCCCTTTTTTGTTTTGTTTTGTTTTTACTTTATTCCATAACAGTCATACCTCTTTGGCTGCATAGTACGAGATTTCAGATTCTAATATCCCTTAGTTTTTCTTGAGAATTACAGTTCAAGTCCAAGACTAGGTGTTATTTTTGAAGATACAATTTTGTTAGCTGGTGAGAGCAGTACTGCCTTGGGTGCGTAGTGTTTAGTCAAAGTAGCATTGATTGCTGCTGTGTGTGCTTCTGGTCATAGGCATATGCTTGCCTTCCAGTAAGAGAAGAAACCGGATGAGCAACCTTAAGGCATGAAAGAATGAATTTCCCTCAAATAAATTTAAAAATCCAGTTGGATGCAAAGTACGGAAACGGTTAGTTGCAGTGGAGTAAGGAGTCCTAGGAACATGAGATGTTACCCTACCTGGGGAAGATCACAAGCCCCGAAGTTCAGTGCAAGGGGAAACTCCAGCAAAGCAAAAGAGGAGGCAGAAGCTAGGACTGGGACTTTGTAGACTGCATATAAAATGACCAGAGGACAGATATTTGAGTACAGAACTCACTGAAGGGTGGGTAATGTAATGGAAAACAAGTCTAACAGGCCCCACTGATCAGTGGACAGAAAACTCTTCCGAAGAAATAGGGAGAGTACAGACCCAATGTAATCAGCATTAAGTATGTAATTATTGGGGGGGAGGGGTGTTAAGCTTTTTAATTTTGATTAAACAACACCACGTTTATTTTAAAACAAAATAGAAGAAAAATGCTTCCAAAACAAAAATTAATTTGATGATAAGGCAGCCAAAAAAATAGTAATATGTGCCTGTTTTTTTAAAAAAAAATTTGCAAAGTGGCAAGAGTCGAGCCAGTTCTCAACTAGAAGAAAGCTGTTCACAAATCTTTGCTTGTTCAACCATTAATTTTGCTAGATTCTTCTGTTCTCTTAGATAACATGTCCCAAGAATATTCTATGCTTGCATCACAGACCTAGCAGTCTGGATAAAATTTGTGGAGCTGAAACATCACAATTACTCAGAGTAACTGGAGCATGGAATACAGATCACTTGAGTCAGAAAACTCTTTGTGCCTCCCCCAGTTTGGTGCATCCCTGAGCCTGCAAGTGTGCAGGCTGATGTCATAGCCAACCAACAGTTCCCGGGAGAGGAGCTTCACTGAGAAGTTTAGCACTAGGAAATTAAAAGCCGTGGTTGAGGGGTTGCTGAGCCAAGCTGTGCCACGAAGGTGCCTGTGTGCAGTCCTCAGACCTCTCAGCAGTGATAGCTCATGCTCTATCTATTACAAACAGAGACCTACTTCAGAAGTGTAAGTTGTGATTTTAAATGTATATGTTTTAGTTCCTGGATGTGCTTTCCTCGAGTTAAATGGCTTTTTTTCTTTGCCTTCTGTTCCTGTAGGCACATCTGAACTTGTTTTCT